ATCGGGGGGGGGCGTCCACAGAAGGTCTAGGGGGAAGAGGAGGGGCCCTGGGTTTGGTGTGTTGCCAGAGGGCCTGGGTAGGGATAAGGAGGGGTCCCCAGAAGGTCTGGGGTAGAGAGGAGGGGCCCCAGTTTTGAGGTGACCCCAGGGGGTCATGGTGGGGTGCGGGTGCAGTAGGGGCCCCAATTCTGGAGCCCTCCTGGAAGGGCTGGGAGAAAGAGGACGGTCCATGTGGCGTGGGGAGGCTTCCTTGCCTTCCCTTCCTTGGGTCCAGAGCTGGGATGTCCCCCGAGGGTCTGTGTGGATAGGGGCAATGGAGAAGAGGGACCCCCATTTGTGGGGTGTCCCCAGTGGGGTGTCTTATGGTGATGTCACTGGGGGCAGTAGCCGGGTTGGGGCTGCCACAGTTGGAGCTGTTGCTCCAGGGAGCGCAGGGTCAGGGTGCAGCATGGAGTTTGAGGGTGCCTGGCAGGCTTGGGGCTTTTCCTGGGGATGGGGGTGCCAGGAGCAGGTTTCCCTGAATGAGGGACCCTCACCAGGAGTGCAGCAGAGCCCCAAAGCCGATGGCCAGGGGTCTCTGGCACTGATGTCTGTGCTGGCTGCCCTGCAGATGGCTTCGGCAGCACGAGTGTGTGGAGAAGCTCAATATGCACGCCATCCTGAGCGCTTCCATGGGCCAGGAGCAGCTCCTCACCGAGCTGCTGATCACCTACGCCAAGGTGAGCCTCCTTTGAGTGCGGTAGTGATCCCCATGCCAGGCCTTCAGCCTTGAGCTGGCGTTGTCTTGTGGACAAGTTGAAATTTTGGAATAAAATGGTGAAGAATCTGCTGTATCGCTGGCAAAGACATTTGACTGGTGGTTTGCCAGTGTTGCTTTTTAAAAAAAATTAAAGGTCAAGCTGTGGTATTTCTGCTTGGTCTCTGGTTCTTCTCTGGAGATTGTTTTGGTCTCTTGTGTACCAGCCCCTCTGGTTGCAGATGTCTGTCCTTACCTGAGGTGTCTCAGCCCCAGAATGTGCTGCGCTGCACCAGGATGTGTGCACTAGGATGTGCCCTGGACCTGCCCAGCTTCCTGGGGTCTTCTTCCCCGTTTGCAACCCCAGGAGCTTTCTCTGCCCTCTTGTTTGCTGGGGAAAAGCTGATGATTTCTGAGGTGGGTGACTACAGATTGTGCGCCCCAAGGCTGCTGTCCTCCTTGAGATGACTCCAAAGTCTGTGCAGCTGAGCATTAGCAATAAAACTGGTTCCCACTCCAGCACTGGTTTGAATGGCTTTGCTCACCTATCCCTTCCCTGTCCAGATTCCTGTTCTCATTGGGGAGTTGATCTCTGTGGAGATCTGGAAGCACAAGATCTTTCCTGTGCTGTGCCGGCTGGAGGACTTCAAGCCAAGAAGCACCTTCCCCATCTACGTGGTGGTGAGTAGAGGGGACAGTGGGAACAAGCCTGGAAATTGGGCAGGCACCACTATACTTAAATCTCACCCCAAAGATCTCAGAACTGGGGTTTTACATCTCACCAGGCTGAGGAGCTGCAGTGGGCAGCATGACACAGTGGGAAGCACCTAGTTTCCCAAAGCCGTGAGTGACAAGCCTATGTCCTTGCCCCTAGGAAGGACAGGGACTCACTCCCAGGGGAGCTCAGCTCCATGGAGGGCTGCACCCCTGCCTAATCCTGCACAGGGGCTTGTGGGAGCTGCTGGATGTAGCAAAAGCCACTCCTGGAGGCGACTGTGCTCCTGGCTTGCAGCTCCCAGCGACTTGGCGCTGCCCTCGCTCCCAGGCAGCAACACCACTGGGGTATTTTCCCCCTTCTGAGCACTGTTTTTTCTCTGGCACCTCCAACCAAAGGGCTCTCTGAGGCTATGTGCCTCTGGGTTAAGGAAAAGGTAGCTTTTTCTTACCGAGCTTCTGGGAGCAGTGGTCCCTTGGGCCATTCTTGGCAAGGGAGCGTTCTCAGGAGCTCTTGACCTAAGGGAAATCTGCCCAAGGCTTGGAAGTTTTAGCCTGTTTCCAGTCGGGGGTAACACCTTGCTGGGGGAAGGTGGTGTCTTCCCTGGGCAGCCATTTGTCTGCAGCATTGCCTGGAGGCAGTTATCTCCTGACTCCCAGTCTCAGGACAAGGCTGTCTGCCCAGTCGGGGGGTGCTGAGAGCAGTGCAGCCGTGCAGAGCACTGTCCCCTCTCCAGCAGTGGCTCTGTGCCAGTACCAGGGGCTGCAGCTTGCCCGAGGGCTATGGTTGTACTGCCACTGGAGTGCAGAGACAGAGCTGCGAAGAGCCCAGCCTGCTGGGAAGCATGGTTCTCTATCAGCGCATTAGAGCATCAGAGGCATGTTAACATAAATATTAATACGATCTGGAGTTGTTTTAAAAATTATATCACTTGCATTGGCCCTTGGACTTGTTTTTGGCCACAACTACACAAGCAGCTTCCTAAGAGGAGCCCTTTTCCCGGTCCCATCACCTGTGTCCTCGATGCTGATGACTGCTCTGCTGTTACCTCAGTCTTGCCGTTTTCCTCCCGCAGCTGCATCATGAAGCCTCCATCATTAACCTCTTGGAGACAGTGTTTTTTTACAAGGTAAGGGGCAGGTTGAGCTTTCTTCAGTGTAAAGGTCCCGAGGGTGGAAAGCCACAACTGTGAGGGCTGGCCTTCTGTGAAACTCTTGTCCTTGTGAAGGAGATCTGCGAGTCAGCAGAGGATGGCATTCTGGATTTAATTGATTATTGCCACCGAAAACTGACCCTGCTCGCAGCGCGAAGCGCCAATGGACAGATAGTGACCTCGACGGAGCTCCGTCCCGAGGATCTGGTCAGCCCCTCATCCATGCAGGTGAGGAGAAAGTCCTGTCGCTTACTGGTGGCACATGTGATGGGGGATGTAGGCAACCTGAAGAGGCACAGGCCTTCCCGTGGAGAACCCTTCGGCTGCAACCCCAGCACCTCCCACCCATCTCGGAGTGTGTCTGGTGCTGGTGCTCGTCCATGCCAGCAGCTCAGGCTGGGCTGGCAGCTGCACCCACCTCCCTCCATCCCACAGCCACGCTTCCACCACCTCTTGTGACAGTGCCAGCCTGAGGCTTCCTACAGGACACGGTCTGAGCTGGCACTCTGAGCAGGGAGATGCTGGAGAATCGATGGTTACACAAAATATTCAGTACGGGGTTTTGGCTATTTGCTCTTGCTCTTAAAAGCTGTGTGGGTATGTCTCCCCGGAGTTTATAAAACCACCTTAGCCCAGGCTGCAGCTGGAGCTGCCAGGGTTAACCATGAGAGGGATCCCTCCCTCAACCGATGTACAATAGGACTAGGAATTGTCCCACTGTTGGTGTTTCCCCCAGCTTCCTCAGCCCTCTGAGAAACACCTCTCTGCTGGTCGGGACCAGTGGTGAGCCCAGAGCTGTTCCTAGTCAGGTGTTTCGGGGCTGATGCACACACCTTCCCAGTTTGGGAGCTCTCTCTGCTTTTGGGACTTTGCTTCTGAGCACCTCAAGTTTTCCCTTTAAACTACACACGTCACGAGGAGCGTCTGGAGAAGCGGGGTTAAAGCGAGAGCCTGCAAGCTTGGCCGTACCTCCCCACATCGCCTCCATCCTTTGGCTTGTTGCCCGAGCACATGCTCCTCTTTCAGAAAAGGGAAGGAAGTGGAGGGCTCTGGAGCACAATAGGGGTGTTTTCCAGGAAATGTTTTCCCAGCTGGGGAGGGGAAAAGGGTGTCTCTGTTAGAGCTTCGACATGGCTCATGGAAAAAAAGAAAAAAGACCTTTTCTAGCCAATAGGGTCCAAAAAAGTGCTCGTCTCCCAAGGAGCCTGGTTTCCTCTGATTCATTCCAGACCCTTCTGACTCTACATACAATAACCCCCTACTGAAAAACTGTTCCTGCCCTCTCCTGTGTTGTAGAGCCTGTTGTCCTTTGTGACTGTGTACGGTGGTAACCTCTGGAGCAGGACCTGTTCTCCTGTTTTCCAGAAGCACAGGCAAAAGATAGTCCCTGCCCAAAAGTAGCAGAGATGAGGTCTGGGTACCAGCAGGAGCTGTAGGAAACAGCCTCACTGGCAGAGTTTGGAGATCCAGGGAGATGGGGAGAAGAGCCCAAAGAGCTTTCTTGGTAGCGTGTGGGCACCAGGGTGGGGAGCACAGGGCTTCTCACTGCAGGAATTTGAAAGGAAACTGTTGCGGTGACGCTTTAGAGGAATAGAAGTTGCTGAGGTCAGTGCTCTGCACACAGAGATGTGAGGGCTGAGCGTCTGGGAGTGGAGAGGAGAAGCTCTGTCTTGGCCAGGGCGAAGGACTTGGCACCTCTCAGCCTAGCTGTCCCGATGGTCTCAAAAGAAGCTGAGTCAGAAGGTGGTCAGGCTGTCGGGGATGAGCGGGGTTTCCGCGCTGCCTGGGAAGGGAAGGAGGCCGGGTAGCTGGAGAGCGTGGCGTAGCTGCAGGCTGGGATAACCACAGGCAGATGCTGGCTGTATGCAAGCTGGAGGGGAGAGGCACATCCAGGAGGGGTGGATGTAGGACTGCAGCTGCGCCAAGGCTAAGTTTCTCCCTCCTCTTCCAGTTCCTCTGCTGATCATGCAGCTTCCCCCTCCCTGAGCCTCATGTCTCATGGGCCACAAGTTGATCCCAGAAGGGGAGAGAGGATCTGGTCTGAGACTGGCCTCTTTCAGGGGATGTCTCTGTGCAGGGGCACTGCTGCTAGTAGCCACCCGTGATCTGTTAGGAGTAGGGAGATGAAGCATGAGCAATGGTGAGCCATACTTCTGCAGCTGCCCTGGCAAACAGGCAGCACTGGCACAGTCGAGATGAGAAGCAGAGTTTGTATTGCAGGGCTCTGGTTTCCTCCCCAGTCTGTGGTTACCGAGGCACAGCCAAGAGGCTGCCTCCCTGGAGCTCCTGGGACATGGGGCCTGAAATCCCGAGGCTGTGCTTGTCTCTCCACAGGAGCTGCAGAAGCAGGCAGAGATGATGGAGTTTGAGATTTCCCTGAAAGCCCTGTCCGTGCTGCGGTTCATCACCGATCAGGTGGAGAGGTAGGTGCCCAGGAGCAGCAGAGAACACGCACCGAACTTTCCGGTTGGGACTCCTGTGGGATCGCAGCGGGTGCCTGGACCCCTTTCAGCAGCTGGCTGTGGTGGCAAACGCAGCAGCACTCCACCCCACTCCATGGTACTTGCGGGAACCCAGATCATTGTTTTTTTTCCTGCCTCTCCCAGTTGCCTCAGGGAGCGATTGTATCCGTTGTGGCGTTTCATTTCCCCCTTTCTGTCGTATTCCCAGTCTGCCCCTGAGCGCGCTGACGCGGATGCTGAACACCCACAACCTGCCCTGCCTCCTTGTTGAGCTGGTGGAGCGTTGCCCCTGGAGCTGTCGCGAAGCAGGTACGGATGGATCGTGGTACCTGGGGTGCCGTGATGGTGCGCTGGGACCTGCCACCGCTGACAGCTCTGCTCCAGGAGCCCTGCTGAAAGCTGCTCCCCTCTGGCCTCCTCCTCCTCACTAGTGCTCCCTGCCTGACGCTGTTTAGCTTGGGAGTAGCTGCAGCACAGCCGGGCTGGGGACCCGGCAGCACTCCCAAAAGCCGATTCTCGCACAGGGCTGTGTCTCTTCTGAGTTGATCAGGGCCAGGACGGAAGCAGGAG